CAAAATGATCAGTTCTGCTCCACTGGCACCTTGGAGTTCATTGTCCCATTCCAGCTCCAGCCCAGGCAGTCCCATCCTGCTTGTTTTCCTCTCTCCAGCCCACGCTGTTGGTGCTCCTGGGCTGAGATTTGGATCATTTGTCCTTGGTGCCCAGCTGGAGCAGGAATTGTTTTGTCTCTGCTCTGTGCAGAGAGCTCAGCATCCCCTCGTGGGAAGCTCAGAGCCACACACTAAAGCAGCACAGAATGTGAAAAATAGAAAAGCTAGAAGCTGATGGCTCAGAAGGACATTTCCTGTGTGTCCCTGCAGGATCCTGTCCTTCCCCAGGAACCTCCTGAGCGCCAGGGACACGCGCCGGGGGCTGGCGGCCGCGTTCCGCATGTGGAGCGAGGTGTCCCCGTTCAGCTTCAGGGAGGTCCCGCGGCACCTCCCCAGCGACCTCAAAATCGGTGAGTGCCCCCCGCAGGATCCTGCACCAAGGAGCTGTGGGAATTCCAGCAATTCCAGAGCGTAGTGCAGGATCTGGGAGGCAGGAGAGCCCTCCTGTGCTGTGCAGACTCATGGGGGCCTCTTGGATAAGGTCTTTGCCTGCCTTTTGCCAGGCAAAGAAAAACTGCTTTTTTCTGCTCAAGGAAATGTTAAATGTCACAATTAACACTCCCTGTGAAGCTGGGAAGCTTCAGGCATTTGCCAATAATGAACCCTCAAATTCTGCTGCTGGGATGGGATCCCAGAGGTGGGGAAAGCCATGGGAGAATAAGAATCCACAGGTGGGGAAAACCACAGAATAAGAGTAAGAATCCACAGGTGGGGAAAACCACAGGAGAGTAAGAGTAAGAATTCACAGTTGGGGAAAGCCATGGGAGAGTAAGAGTAAGAATTCACAGTTGGGGAAAGCCATGGGAGAATAAGACTAAGAATTCACAGGTGGGGAAAACCACAGGAGAATAAGAATCCAGATTCTTACTTCACAGCTGGAGAAAGTGAATGTTGGGAGGTGGAGTGACACAGCCAGGGTCACGACACAGAGCAGGTGAGGGATTCTGGTTGTCAGTGGGTTCGATCTCCCTTTTGCTGATCCCTTTGGAGCAGTCCCTACTCCATCCTTTCCCTCCATGGCTGTTCCTGAATTTCCTGGGGCCCAGAACAGTTCAGTGCCGAGGTGTTTTCTGCTCAAGCTTAGATGTCAATTCTTCCTGGGATTTCTGAGTGTGAAGCACAGATTCCTGATGCCAGTGGCCAGCCAGCAGATTCACCCTCATTCCACACCATGTTCCCCTCGTGATGAGGCTCCCAGGGGTCTGTCCTGTCACCTGTGGGAGCTCCAGGTGCCTTTCCAGGGATTCAGGATTCACTGTGATCCTGCTGCAGCTCTGACTCCAAGGCATCTGCTTATTTATGTTCAAAATAGCCATTTTTGGAACAATCCAGGCGTTATCAGTTCTGTCCAGCTTCTCTCTCAAAAAGATAATTTCCACCTGGTGTTGCAAGAGGAGCTCAGCATTCCCTGCTGGAAAACAAATTAATTGGTGTCCTGTGGGAGCAGCTCTACATGCAGGGTCAGCATGTGGCTGAGTGTTGCCATCAGTGCTGACAATTGCTTTGCATTTATCTTTCCTTTTGTGGCCCTGGAAGCTGAAAAATACCTGGGATCCCATCAGAGACCTTCCCAGTGACCCAGGGCTTTCCTGGGCAGGCTGATCCTGCTGGATAACCCTCAAGCTGCTGCTTTTTCCACAGGTTTCTACTCCATCAACCACACGGACTGCCTGGAGTCTCTGACCCACCACTGCTTCGATGGCACCACAGGGGAACTGGCCCACGCCTTCTTCCCACCCCATGGAGAAATCCACTTTGATGACCACGAGTACTGGATCCTGGGCAACACCAGGTTCAGCTGGAAGAAAGGTTAATAACACAGGGAGCACGTGGAATGCTTGGGATTTAGATTTTAGTCTGGGATTTGCCTGATCTGGGAAAGTGACAATAGAAACAGTTAGGCTTCTATCGAGGGCTTGGAAGTCGTTGTTCCTCTGCCCTGAGCCAGAACTGTGTGGTGGCAGGGCCACTTCTTGCTGGAATTACTGGAATTAGTGAAATTACTGGATAGTTTAGACACATCCTTCAGATAAAATCCATGAGCTGCATGCTGCCAAGAGGCTTGAGTTTGACTCCAGGCTGTGGAGGGCAAACAAGAGCCTCTTTCAGACTGGAATCTTCCCAACCCCATTTCTTCAGCTCAGAGCTGTGGGAGCAAAGGGAGCAGGAGGATGAGGAGGGTCAGTGTTGCACTGAGTCAAGCACTGCTGGTCCAGAGCAGCTCTCCTGGAGCTTGGCACTGCTCTGGGTCCTGCTGCTGGGAATTAGAAGCATGTGGAAATAATTGGCTGGATTTGGGCCCAAGCAGCTGCAGAGATGAACCTGGGGCAGTGTTGCCTGTTCTAGTGCCGAAATTGATGCCTTGTGGAGGCTGCCCTAGAACAGAGACCAGACAGAGTTAAATAAGGCAGGGATTAATTAAAAGGATCTCCCCTCAATGAAGCCACCTTGGGCATGGCCAGGGCTGCACCCAAGATGAACCAAAATGGACCCAAAATGCACGAGCGCTCACGGGGTCTCTCACTTTTACAAGTTCTGCTCCGTTTGCACCTTGGAGTTCATTGTCCCATTCCAGCTCCAGCCCAGGCAGTCCCATCCTGCTTGTTTTTCTCTCTCCAGCCCACGGTGTTGGTGCTGCTGGGCTGAGATTTGGATCATTTGTCCTTGCTGCCCAGCTGGAGCAGGAATTGTTTTGTCTCTGCTCTGTGCAGAGAGCTCAGCATCCCCTCGTGTGAAGCTCAGAGCCACACACTAAAGCAGCTCAGAATGTGAAAAATAGAAAAGCTAAACCTGAGGCATCAGAATCTTTCCTCTGGCGTTCACTAGGAAGAGCTGTGACAAAGCAGAGCTGTCCAGCAGTGCACAGCACAACTCCAGCTGGTTTCCTTCTCCCCAGGGGTGTGGCTGACAGATCTGGTCCATGTGGCAGCCCACGAGATCGGACACGCCCTGGGCCTCATGCACTCGCTGAACCCCAACGCCCTCATGCACATCAACGCCACCCTGACGGGCAAGAAAAGCATTTCCCAGGATGAGGTGTGGGGAATCCACAGGCTCTACGGTGAGAGAGGGGCTCAGTCCCAGCAGGGCCGTGCCTCCAGTGGCAGCTGGACGCTCCGGAGCCATCGTGGTGTCCCACCCACCTCGTGCTCCTGCTTTACAGCATTCCCCATCCCAGCTGCACGTTGTTCCTTCTGACATTCCACCTCAATTTGGTTGTTCGGTCTCCCCCAGCCCTCTAACTCCTCATGTCCTCCTGTTGCAGGCTGTAAGGACAGGTTATTTATGTGCCCATTGTGGGCCAAGAAAGGTTTCTGTGAGAAGCGCAGGAAGCTGATGAAGAAGCACTGCCCGTCCACCTGTGACTTCTGCTATGGTATCCAGGGGCTTTGCTGGGATTTGGGCTGGGGGCTGCAGAGGGAGGAGGTAAAAGGGAGGCTGGGATAGGCAGGATCCTCATTTCACACCAGGGATCAGTGACACAACTGATCCAGCTCCAAGCACCACAACAGAGTTGGTGTTTTCTATCTCTGAGTCCAGATCCAGGCCTGGAACAAGGAATAATCCCACATTTACAGAGTGGGACATTAAACTGTCCTGCTCCTCTCTGGTTTAGCTGAGCCAGGGAACAGCAAGGCAGAGAGAGGGGCTGCAGAGCAGCTCCTGAGACAGGGATGGGGCAGAAACAAGACAAAAACATCTCCAGCACAGCTGGACTGGAGCTGCTCCCCAGAACAGGATATAGAAAGGTGATTAAACACAGGATATTAATCACCTTCTCCAGCCTCAGCTTATGGATCCAGGTAAGGAACTAAGGCAGGACAAGTTGCTGCAGCTGTGGAATTGAGTTCAGATAAAAACTGCTGTCCTTAGGAGATCCTGGCTAACCAGTGCCTCTTTCTGCAGCACAGAGGGTTGTTTTTTTTGGGTCATGTTAATGAAAGATGCAATTAGATAATTACAAACCCAGACATTCCATGGCTTTTCACATCTTCTTCCATAGCTGCAAAAGGGACACGTTGAATTTTATCACACCACAAAATTTTTATCCTTGCACATCAATCATGTTACTTGTCTGTCCAAGAATTGCTCAGGAAGGGGAAGCACTTCTAAATGAATATTTTTAAATGTGAAAGGGTTTTGGGGTGGCTAAAGCTCCTTAACAGCTGCCATTTCCTCCTCTGCCTGGACAGAATTCCCATTTCCAACGGTGCCCCCCACTCTGCCCCCACCAAGGACCAAAACCAAGACGGTTTCTGAGGGCAGGAACGTCACCTTCCGCTGCGGGCAGAAGATCATCCACAAAAAAGGCAAAGTCTAGTAAGTGCTCTGTCCTTACCCAGGCCCTGGGAAACTTCACATGCCAAAATCCATAAGGAGCAATGACAAAAACAGGCTAAAGAAGAATGGAGTTTATAATCTGGAGCTCAAAAAGGATAAAATCCAATTTTATATTTTATATATAGCACAAAGCTAATTCCTACTCTCAAGTTGAACTCCCTGTCTTGAATATTTACATTCTTTATATTCTGCAAAATATTCATTAAATTTTTCTAGTTTTATTTTCTGTACGATATTTCTATGTTTATAATTCTATTTTAAAATAATTTTATATTTCATACTTTTATTTTTAAATATTAATATTTACATTATTTATATTCTGAAAAAACCCCATAAATTTAAATTTACCCTTTCAGGTTTTGATTAGTTGGTTGCTAGTGAAGTTACTAAAGTACTGAACAGGTTCTGGATGTATCTAAAGTTTAAGTTGGCTCAAATCCATGACTTGGTTTAGACTTGAGGACCCAAATTCCCATCAACTTTCAGAGATTGAAACTCAAAAATTCCTCATGATTATACGTTGATTATCCACCTGAAATAAAGAGTACAACTCAACTGTGTTTTGGTAAAGTCTGTGCTCTACACTTATTCAGCAAAATTTATTAGTTGAAATAACTAATATTGAGTTTAACTTGCACTCTTTTTCTTCTGACAGCTGGTATAAAGATAAGGAACTTCTGGAATATTCCTATCCAGGTTATTTAGCCCTAAATGAAGACCACATGAGCATCATTGCAAATGCAATTAATGAAGGAACTTACACTTGCATAGTGAAGAAAAAAGAAAGGATCCTGACTACTTACTCCTGGAGAATCAGACTGAAGCACTGACCCAGCCCTGGATTCAGTTCCTGCTCCTTCTGTTTCCAGTTTTTTCTTTGGCATTTTAGATTTAATTTCCAGTAGTGCAACTGAATTCTCCAGCAGCTGCTTCGGTACCTTGGGCAAAAGAGATTCTGGGACTGGTTACTGGAATGTCAAACTCTTCCAGATTTGTTTTAAAGATAAAGAATTTATCAACTATTTGCTGTACAGAGAATTAAAAACCTTTTTTTTTTTGTAAGAAAAGTGTCAGATGGAGCTGTGTGGGGCACTGCTGCAAACCAGGAGCAGACTCTGCCCCAGCCCCTGGGACAGTGGGATGGCAGGAAGAGAACAAGTCCAACACTCCCTGAGTGTTTTCCTGCTATTTTTTACATCCTGCTGCACTGCAAATAGAAGAAACGACAATGCTAAGCCTTAACATTGCTTTTCTTTCACTTGTCAGGAAGATGAGGATCACACAAATCCTGTTTTGCTCCTCATTGTCCATTCCAACATGTTCAGTTCAAGGAGCCACAGAACAGATCTTCCCCTCAAGCGGTTTCCTGTGGTTTGAGAGTTTTCTTCTTATCCCAAGAGGAATTTATTGCTCAGAGCTGGTCCTTGAGGAGTCTGAGCTGCTCAAAGTTGGTTCCTTGAGGGGTCTGAGCTGCCCAGGGTTTGGTCCTTGAAGGGTCTGAGCTGCTCAGTTTGGTCCTTGAGGGGTCTGAGCTGCTCAGTTTGGTAATTAAGGGATCTGCATTGCTCAGTTTGGTAATTAAGGGGTCTGAGCTCTCAGTTTGTTAATTAAGAGGTCTGAGCTCTCAGTCTGGTCCTTGAGGGGTCTGAGCCTTGGGTCCTGTGGGAGATGAGGTGATTTCCTCCCCCAGGATGAGGTGAAAGTGCCACATCCAGCTGGAGAGGAGCTCAGGAGAGGCTGGCAAAGCTGGGAAGGGAACAATTCCATGTCACAGCCAAACTGTGCAGTGGGGTCATGCTTCAATCCTGCACAGCTTCCCTGCACTCCTGCTTTTCACTGGGCTCCTGGGGAAGCTTCTGGAACCAGGAATGTTCAGCTGTTTCTCCTTCAGGCCTGAGGGGAACAGGGAGTTTTGTCTTCCTGCACAGGAAAACAACCAGACAGCTTTCCCAACTCACCACAATGCAGCACATCCACATTCCAGCCTTTCCCCGGGAAAACTCTCCAAAACGGACTGAAACTGATAAAATGTTTAGGATTGGAGTTAATCCCTTACTGGCCTGGTGCCCAGCTGTGGTTGCAGGAAAATGTGGTGGTTTCCAGATCTCCCTGTTCCCAAAACAAAGTGACAGCTTCACAAATCAGGAGGTCCAGAGGATGAGATTCCAACATGATTCCTCCTCTCCTCTTTCCCCAGAAAGGACTGGAATGTGGCCTTGCACAACCACTAAAGCTGAATTCTTCTCTGGATGGAAAAAGGGCATATATTTAAAAAAAAAAAAACTTTCACAAGAAATAAAGTTTCAAGTCTCCATATTAAATCTTTTTGATTTATAAAACAACAGAGTAATTTTGCACCACTGTAAATACATTTACAGAACAAAAAAAGAAAAAAAAAAAATCTGGTCAGGGAGTATCAAACCCAGCCCAGCTCTCTCTAAGGTAACAGGATACAAATCTCAGAATTGTCATTTTTCTTTTTGCCCTAAATATATTCAGACACAAACAATTTGCTTACTTTAAATAAAAAATAAACTCTCTTTACTGTCACCAACATCCCACTTGGCTGCATGTGAAGCAATGAAATCCTTCACACTATTAAACAATTGAAATTGTATTTTAATTCTACAAATTTACAAGGAAAACAAAACAAAACAAACTCAACAAAAAAACACCCCTAAAAACAAACCAGAAACTGTTCCAGGACTGTTATTTCAAGTTGTCCTTTGTCACAGTTTGTGATGATCCTGGGGTTTTCAGGTAACTCCAGTCCTCTAATGGAATGCAGCAGATAAACTCCACATTGATTTATAAAACAAGAGCCTTGGAATCTGTGATAATATTTGAGTTTTTTTCACAGGGAAAAACATCTGGTGCCCCTGACAGAGAACAGAACTGGGGCACTCAAATCCACTCACATGAATGGTGCTTTTTGGGCTTTTTTTTCCTTCCTTTTTCATGTTGAGTTCAAAACTTGAGACTGAAGCCAGGTCCCGCAGCAGATGCTCCTTGATTTGTGGTGGTCAGATGGAAACCTGTGTCCTTCAGGTCATCATCACCCTGTGAAAACCAAGCACAGGGCACTGATCAGGGGCTGGGCAGCTGCATTCACCCATCCAAAAATCTAAACAACAAAAATAAATCATCTCAAGATGAGAAATAAATGTTTGATTTAGTGGCATCACAGTTAAGGTTGATGCTGGGTTATTCATAATCCTTAAATATTGCTATTTCAAAATGTGCCATTGCTAAAAGCCATTTGAATGCTCCTAGTTCCTGTACGCACTTTTGACTGAGAAAGATAAAAAATCTGGTATAAATAAGTGTAAACTTCACTCATTGAGCATCTAATCCAACACACATCCTCCATGGCAGTGTTTACACTCAAAAAAAAAAAAAAAAAAATCAAGGCTAAATAAACTTTTTGTATTATGTAAACTGTAAATTGGGCACAATACAGTACAGTGCCATTTCAGCCATGCTGAGCCATGGAACTGGGAATAAGAATTTTCTGGAATTAGGGGCCTAACATGCCATACTTATGGGGTCAGCACAATTCCCATGGATAGACAGCACAGATATCCCCACAGAGAGAATCCAGCCTGATCTTTTAGGAATTCTCCAAGACTGGTAAAAGGCATCTATTTCGATCCCCAAGATCTGTATCACTCACCAGACTGTGGATTTATTTCAAAACCAAATTTAACAGCTTAGTTGAAGGTGTAAAACAATGAATATTTTCAAAGGAGAAACTGCTCTGCACTGGGATAAACCAGACATTTCTTTCTGATTGTGCCTTGAGATGATCCTGGCAGCAGAACAGTAACTGGCACTGACTTTGGGAAGGAAAGCTGGACTTTCCCTGGTCTTTGGGAAGCAAAGTTGGACTCTCCTTTGGCTTTGGGGAGAAAAGCTGGACTTTTCCTGCCAGCCCAGGTGAATCTCAGGATCCTGGGATAAGTCCAGCCCCAGATGAGGCCCTGGGGCTGTGCCACACCCACCAGTACTGACTTTGGGAAGGAAAACAGGACTGTCTCTGGGCTTTGGGAAGGAAA